GCAAAGGGAATCACATCGAACCAGAGGCATTGGTGGTATGGTSARGTCTCCCACTYGARGATGCAACTTGGGAACCTTACTTGGACTTACAGAATAGATTTCCACATCTTGACCTTGAGGGCAAGGTCGCTTTCGAGGGAGGAGGGACTGTTGAGACACAAATAAAGGGAATAGAGAGACAAGTGTATAAGAAAAGGCCACGTCAGCCTTTAAGTAATGTAACTGACAGCCAACCACTAGAACAAACTAAATAACAAAATTGTATCGAAAGTGTTATAAATAACGAAAGGAAGCCAGAAGAGGAATTATTGATTTTGGGAATACAATCTCTCTCTCTCTCTCTCTCTCTCGTTCAGGAGGCAGGCTTCCTCGAAAAGTCCCCGAGTTAGGCAGTTACCTAACAGTAACAATAGACTAAACAAGAGAAAACAAAATAACAAGGAATTGAAAGTGTACACAAGCATTCCATGCCTCTATGTTGCACAATGCAAGGAAGTACCTGAATAAGAGGATCATTGCAAGCTTTGTCAATTAATCTTCCTCGTGCTATTAAGCATAGCAAATGCACCTTATGCACAAGCTCAGCCAATTCCTGGAAGGATGGCAAAGGGGAAAAATCTTAAAACTGTTCATAAAAGAAAAGTCACAATCAGAAGAATAAAATCCCCAACAAAACTTTCAAAAATGTTACATAATGCTTTTTGAGTTACCTTGTCTTCAACAGAAGCTCTTCGAATAGACTTCCGCTTAGCAGGAGACAGTGACTCACTGAATTCAACAGTCACCTCCCCTGTGAGATTATTAAGATGATAGGATCTAGAATTTGAGACGGGTATAGAACCATCCTCCCAGTCTGACTCATCCATATCTTCTTCCTGACCAGGATAAGTACAGGAAATAATTGGCTCCTCAACTTTTCTTTCCAGCTGAGTGCTTTTATTTGGATCTTGACCTCTAGCTCCAACTACCTTTGCACCAAATGTAGCTTTCATGTTTATATCTTGTTTATCACTCCCATTCTGTCCATCTTCTGGCTGGATACGTAAACAATTAGAAGTCATCAATAGGTAGGAAGTGGGAAATGAAAGCATAATTGACTGTTGCTGTAGTCAGACCTTTTCTTAATACTTCACAGAGAATAGAACAAATACCAACTAGCACATGGAACTTGAAATCAAGTAAAATGGGTGGACCTCAGTAATAACACATGAATAAAAGTGCCACTAGGATACATTTATTCTAGAGAGAAATTGAATATATATCTATATCTATATATACATACATATATATATGCACAAACATAGTTAAAAACTGTAAGTTGCTTGTAATTGTCCTCGATATCTATCAGTTGGAAAGCAAGGTTTTTTCTGATAATGAATAGAATTTAATTCTGTTGACTTTCAGAAAAAGAAATTCAATTGAAAGAAGTAGTACGATGCTTCACCTTCTAAACTACAAGTATCCTTACGTTTTCTGTACAAAAAAAGTGGAAAAGAGGAACCACTGAGACTAACCATTGCATCAGACTCAGAATTACTAATGGAGCTCCCTTTTTTCTTCTTCCCTAGTGAGTTGCAAAAACTTGCTTGTTTCAGAAGGCTGCCTTCATCCCCTCTCGACAAACCATTATCATGATATAATGTTGTGCAACTGTTGCATTCCATAACATCTTTAGCCTTCGTTGCATCCTTCTTTCCTGCCAAAAGGAAAACTGACCGTTACGTGCTTGATGCTACATCAATAAACATGTCCATGTACTTGCATGCAATGGTTCAGAGTTCGGTTATCTTCATGGAGGGGAATTATTTAATATTTCAATTTCAATTTCAACTTATGTTTATATGTCTTTTTGGTTTAGATACTTAAGAATAAAAAAGAATTTTCTTTGGCTTAACAGCCCACTGGTGAGAAATCTATTGTTAATCTCCTAGTCTCTCTATAAATGAGAGAAAACATGCAAGTTAAATTATCTTATCTATGAAATATCAATCCATTAGAGACCCATCTCCTTGAAGAACGAATCTCTTTCATTTGTTTCTCTCTCCCTCTATCTCTATTGTGTCCTCTCTTCTGATTCTACGAGTTCACCATTGTTCAAGATGGGTCCTAATCCAAAGCAGGCCAAGCAGAAGAGTAAGTACGATCTTCTTGACACTCAGCCCCACTTTAATTTTTTTCTAGTTAAAGTTAACAGAGTATAGCCCACGAAGCAGAAACAAAAAGTGTCAATATTAACTCATTTCTCATTCTATTCTCCTAGGTATGAATGACACTTACCATTCTACATGTTGAGATATTAATGTAATTGAAAATAATTAAATCCCAGCTCTCATAATCAATTACACCAACTCCACAAGTGGAACAATTCAGTGCCAACTCAACCGAGTTGCCACCACAACCATATTGAGCTAATCGACCCACAGCCCACCCCTAGCGCAATGAACCTAAAACGAAAACAAATTTCAATAGCCACCATCTTGTTTCTTGCCTAAACAGAACTAGACGATACGATGGAAGCAAGTGCAATAACAGAGTTACTTCCGAGTTCATAGGAATCTAAACCCTAGCAGAGAACGTGCCACTATCATCTTCTTTTCGTAAACAAGTTCACGTCCCCACTCCCTCAATTTACCTACCACCAATATAAAGCATAACAAAAGCAGATACAACAGCTAGGGAAAAGCAAAAGGAAAAGAATGAGAGAAAATAAGGAAATTAAAAAAAAGAAAAATAATTTTTTGAACGTTCACTAGCCAAATAGATCATCTTCGCAATGAAAGCTTTCATTTCGAACCAAAGAATATTTCAGGGTTCAGATTCCGGACATACGAGTTGATAACATATTTTCAACCAAGGAGAGAAAAATTAAGGGGGAAATGTGTGGTTTTGGAACAAAATTTCTGAAGATAGAAAGGGAGCCGAAGAGGGAGAAAGAAAGTTTGATGGAGATATCAATTAGGAGGAAAAGGAAACCACAGTAAGATGAATTTGGAAGTGCGTACCCGTTGATTCCCGTTGCCGTTTCGACTGATTTCTAGGTCGCATTTTGAACGTTTCCTTTGGTCACTAAGAGTTGCAGAAGAACGAACAAAAAAAATGCACGTCTTAACTTTGCACGGGTAGACCTTGGAAAGACATTCTTCCCGGGAAAAACAAAACAAACTCGGCAATTACTGACCCGGACTATATCAGAGTCGACCTAACTCGGAGTGAAACACACTGACGTCTCGTACTCTCGTCAGTCATGACTCGTGAGTCGTGAACTCGTGAATCGTGATCTCTCGGGCTTCCTTCTGCGGGTTTCTTTAGGGTATGACCGTACGGGAAATAGATCATACGGTTTAGGTCCCGTTGGCTTTAAGTTACTTATCCGGGTAAGTATAGTTACGTGGTAAGGTCTAAAGCGCCTGTTTCCACGTGTTTTGGATCCTCAATTTTTTTTAATATTAAAAGGCATGTTAAAAGCTTTTTAAAAAACCAAAATGTGAAAAAAAAAACTAAAAAAAATAAAATTTCGGCCGTTTCTAAATATCGATACGATACAATTGAAACTCGTATCATATCGATACTTTGAACCTTGCATTCAAGTGTTGACAACTTTTCCCCTAGGTGGGAAAGTTATTTACCCACCTAGGAAATGGATATCACTTATCCGAATAAATGATACCCAGAAAATAAACTTTCCCTGATCCCCACATAAATTTCAAAAAAAAAAACATAGAATTCTTGGTCATTGGGAACCAAAATACCATTGACCAACTTTCCCCTTTTTCAAAATCCGAAAAAAGATCACCCCCTTAAAGTCACTTCAATATGCATCCCATATGTTAAACTGTTCGTAGAGACCTAGAGGGATGGGTATGAGTTTGCCTCCACATGAACCCGCGACTCAGTAACATGTAGTTTTCTGAACTTGTCACACACTGTAGGGTTCAACCCAATACGATCCATTCTGATTTCAGCCTTCTAATTACATATTTTATTTTTATAATTATAATAAGTATGGTTTTCAACCATCATTGATTTGGGCAATTGGACCGTTTGGCTCAGAACCGTTCAAGCAATTAGTTCTATTTAACCTATAACCCATATCTTGGCCAAAAACTATTGACTTAGTCCTTGACTCACTAACGTGGGCAGTTAATCCATCAATCTGTTTAACCCGAACTAACGGCTTTTAGTTGTTTTTTATTTTTTTTAAATTGGAATAGACCATCCGTTTGACCTGAATGATTGAACCGCTGACCCAGAAATTCATGACCAAAGCGGTTCTATTTCTAGGTTGGTTTTTAAAACGTTGATAATAAGTTTTGAAAACTTAAATACCATTGATTTGAATTGAAATTTGATTTATTTTTATTGGTTTTTAGGTGTCACTTTTAGAAATAATGGAGGGCAATCCTAACCCCACTATATACCTGAATAAACCTGATCCTAGTGTCAAGTGACTCAAGTCAAGTTTAGCAATTAGCTAAATCCATTAACATCGCTTAAGGCTGTAATTGGTTTGAAGGAAAATGTAGAGAAACCTTTACAAACCCTGTATAGGTTTCCCTACGTTTCTCTTCTTTTCCTTACCCTTTTCTTCACACCAAACATAGCCTAACTGTTTTAACATGATCTTTTTATTTTTCTATCAGCATGAATTTTTTCACTTATTCAGTGGGCTTGAATAAGCCCAACTTGTGGGATTGAGTTGGGCTTAGGTTGGGTCTGGGTTCATCTAATTTCTCTACTTCCTTTTGCCAAATGTTCTTATTTCCAAGACTCAAAGGTTGAGGTTGATTTACTTTTAGCATTATCTATACTATTATAAAGTTTGATACTTGTATTGATTTTGGTGCAGATTATAAAAATTAAATTCAATATACACTAATTATATATAAAAGGGCATACATAAACTTTTTACCATATACATACATACAAGGATTGAGGTTGGTTTATTTTTGTCATGCTTAAAAAAAAAGAAAAAAGCTTTTCCTTTAAGCTTACAACTAGCGGGGACCCGTGCGATGCACGGGATTTATTAAGAGAAAGCTAAATAATAAAAAGGGTCATACACTAAAATACCCCTTATAGTTTCATGGATTTACTAAAATCTACCTTATAGTTAGCATTTTACTAAAACACCACTTATAATTTGCATTGGATTTAATCAATCTTCCATTAGATGACAGTGAAAAATGATAGTGTTGACCTAATGTTCATTTAAATAAATTTAATCAAAAGAAAATAAAAATAGAAATACCATTTTTGCCCTTAATAAGACATGGGCAACCACTCTATTGGCTACATTTGTTCAATTTTGTTTTTTATACAAAAAAAAGTGTTAGGGGTATTTTTGGAATAAAAAATCATGGGCCTAAGGGCAAAACAAACACTCCTTAATAAAATCGTGGGCCTAAGGCCCCAACCTCGATTCTGAAATTAACCCCCATCTCCGATCCCTAACGAGGATGGGTTCCCCGTGGGGACCTGAATCCCCAAAATATTTTCAGATAATAGTATTTTTTAAAATAAATAAAATTTTTAAATTATAAATAATCTTTTAAATATGTTTTGATATATATAGTTGGGGTCGAGGTGGGGCAGGGACCTCAATCCCCATCCCCAACCCCAACCTCGATGGGGGATTCCTATTAATCCTCATCCCCTCCCCCGCCCCACCAAAACAATCCCCACCCCCAGCCCCATTGGGTCAAGGAAGTCAGGTCCCCGTCAGGGATGGGAAAATTGCCATCCCTAAAAGTGTGTTCTAATAAATGACCATAATAGAAACACATAATAGTATACAATTGTTTTATATTTTCAACTTTTTAAATAATTAATAATTATTCATATTTTATACACTACTTTTAATACAATTTTAATAATACAAAAATAATAATAATTAATTTCAAATAGGTTTATTTATCAAACTGATGAAACCAACAAGCCCAATTAACTCAACCCGAGTTGGTCAGTTTTCTAGCATTTTATGTTGGCTTTGGTTAAAAAATTTCCCAATTTAACCAAATTGGATCAGTTCCACTTTGGCCATTTATAAACCGACCAAAATCGAACGACCTAACCATGATATATATTATTTTATATTTTAAATATAATTTTTAATATGGAAAAGTGGGAAATTTCCCATATTTCTTAGTCTAAAATGTTTTATATCATAAATCTAATTTTAAATTTATTTTTTAATAATTGCACTGTAATTTTTAAAATTTAATTTAATTTTTAAGTTCAAATCTTTTGAATAAATTGACCAAACCAATACAACTTGAGTTGGCCAACTCCCTAACATGACCAGGTCAATTTGGTTGGCCAAATAAACTACGACTGTACCGAACCAACTCATGAACACTCATATTTTCAGCTAAATTAATAGTCTTATCTCTAATAAATAACAATAGTTTAATTTCCCATAATTATTGAAAATTTATAGAAAAATACACAATTATTGAAAATATATTGATAATGAAAACTACAATAATTACAGAAATTACAAAAATACAATAAGTACTAAAAATATATTAACTTAGTCAATAAATAGTATAATCTCAAATAATAGTTTAATCTCTACTAAATATTAATCAATAACTTATAACAAAAACACAATAAATACAATAAGTACAATAAATTAATTTTAAAAATTTCAATGATAGTAATGTAATCTCCAATAATTATTGAAAGTTTTTTATTAAATAACTTAACAAAATAAAATTATACATACTTATTGAAAATACATTTATCACAAAAGATAATAAATATTAATTTTAGTATATATAATTATATAATAAATATAGATTAAGAGTTTAAATTATTGTTAATAAATATTATTTGTTTGAAAGTTATTTTCTCGAATTATTACTTGATATAAGTAAAATTAATTATTTATAATATTATGTAAAAATATTAAATTATTATTAATTTCAATATTGTGTTATAACTATTTTTCTACTTCTTAGATTTTTTTTTTTTAAATTTGTTACATAATTTATTTATGTTAACTATTTAAAATCTAGTTATGTTAAATATTTTGTTATTTAAAATACTTAGTTATTTAAATACTTAAATAATATGTAAAATATTTAAGTTTTAAAATATTAATTATTTATTGAATTTAATTTTCCATAAAATCATAATTTATACTATTATTACATAATTTCCTTATTAAATTTGTAATATATTAAATTATTATTCATTTAAATATTATGTTATAATTATTTTTCTACTTTGAAGATTTTTTTTTTAATTTATTACATAATTTCGTTATTTTAACTATTTAAAATCTAGTTATGATAAATATTTTATTATTATTATTATTATTTTGAGGCAAAGTGATGGGGAACTCTTAATAATCATTTGGAATCCAATTCTAATAATAAGTTTCTGTTTGCTGTAAAAGGACCGTGAATAATCAGAAATGGCCTAATGGATCCAGAATTAAGATATTTCTACTCTAAATGAACATCTCTCTTTTCTTCCTGGGTCTCTCTCCCTTCTACCTAGTGTGGACTCTAGTTCCTCTCTTTGTGTTACATTTGTCTATCTTTCTTTTGGTCATGTAAATATATAGAGAACTAACTACTTGGCTCATATTATGGCCTTTGTGGCCAAGCCTTTTGTTAGGGAGGAAATTTGGTTTGATCCTCCCCCTTTTTTCGGACTTTAATCTCCATATGCAATAGAAGTATTTTTTTATCAAAAAAATTGCATATATATAAACATTAAATAAATGCTAATATAATAGTTATACATACATTATCAAGTTATATTTTGGTTGGTTCTGATTGACTAAGGCCTCAATTTTAATCCAACTTAAAGTTAAGTCAAGTTCATACTTTTAACCCTAATCCTAACTGAATCTTCAACCCAACCCAACTTTTTTTCTAACTGAGTTTGGGATATCCCAGCCCAAATTACAGCCCTGGCTGATGGACATTGAATGGTCTGTAACCCAAATGTGATTATACTTGTTTTTAATGATTTACTTGTTTGCATTGTAAATAAAGTAAAGTAAAGTAAAGACTAAAATAAAGTAGAATAAAACCGGCTCTGTTAATTGTTTTGAATGCAATTTCAGTTGTTTAATACAAATGCCTTTATTTTGTTTCATGTTTTAGTAAAAATCTAACAAGAACAAACCAGAAATTACATCAAATCATTTGCACTTTCATAATTTTGTGCCAGTGCAAATGAAAATGCACTGCAAACAAATAAAGAAAATTTTGTAAGGTATGAAAACTGCTTCAAGTTCAAGTTTGCGCTCCACAGAAAACCCCAACCATGTAATTAAATGGGCCGGAGATGTTCCCATGCACAGCTTAGATGTGAACGTGGGGCATGGGGCGCAAATCCAAACTCGACCACTTCAGCTTCTTCTTCTTGTTATATGATACAACTACTTAATCAAAGATAAGAGTAATAGACGTCAATAGAGAACGAGTTGTGACAGATCAGCTCGTTTCAATAACTAGGGCCTAGCCTACCACAGTACCAACCAACCTCTGATTTATAGAAATGATATAGGAATTGAGCAAGGAATTGTTGGGGAAGCTTCATTTTAACGCTTCCCCCAATGGTTAAGCAATTATTCATTGTTATGCTGATGTGGTGCCTAATGGCACCGTTGTGAATAAACGATTTTATTATTATTTTTTTCAATTTTGCAAACAAATCAAATACAAATGTTTAATGAATAAACGAAAGTTGTACTAAACACATACTTAGTGTACCAGCTTGTGTTGCACATTAGGCTTAGACTTGAGTACACAATGATGCTTTGGAACAAGATGAGGCCAATGGCCCCATAGTTGAGTACGGCATCCCTCCTACAGTGGAGTTGCAGGATCAAACTCACGTATCTGAATGTGGTCATTAAGGGCAACTAAACCCCAGTTGTTAATGCTCATTAGACCAAGTAAGTTGTAACTTCAGTCCTAGTTCAACAGATGCAATCCATCAAACCAATGAAATAGATAATGCTGTAGGTTAGAAAGAAGTCCCAAGGGAGAAAATGAGCTATTGAAAAGTGTAGGATATCCAGAAATCAACATGATAGATATAACTTCCAAAAACTTGTAGAGAGTAGTTAAATGTAGGAGATTAATAACTATAGCAACCTATGAAATAATTGATGTCATTGTGCTTGCTGCATCCTCTGAACAGAAAAACAGGAAACAGGATTCATAGAGTAGCCAACCCCATATAGGTGGGACAACCCCATTGCGCTTGCTGCAGCTTGCTATTTTTGTTGGAGACTAAGAAGACATACTTTCAATTCCATTAATGGAGTTTCCACACCATCTTCTTCTCGAGTAGAGATAACAAAGGTTGCAAACAATCACTACCACGATTTTCCGAGTATGGGTTGGATTGGATGTTATTGGTCCCAAGATGTAGCCTTTTCCAGGTTTATGCATTCATGGAAATTAAAATGGGAATTACAGTATTTTCTGGCAAATGCTTTTGGACATGCATGGGCACCGGGCAGTGACCAACATTCCCACCGAAGTCGAGATTCATACAAGTCATGTGTAGACAGGTATCAATATATCATGATTTAAGAAGTCTTGTCACAGTAGGAACTGTTTGAAAGAGAAGCTATACTGTGAGAAAGTAAACTTCAAAAGAGGAAAATAATGCAGTACTTGTTCCGTGTGAAATTCTTTTGCCTTGCACCTGGTTTACTGGTCTTAACATTGTTATTAAGACATGATGATACGATTGCTTCCAAGGAATTGCCGATATTTCGAAGAGTAAGTTTTAACAAAATTTTCAGTTGAATTGTGTTGCTGAGGTCCATTGAATAAGATTTATTTTCCTTTTCCTTCTGTGAACCTTTTAACTGTCGAACAAGTAGCAACTGATGTTTAGATGAAGCAAAATATCAACATTTTTTCTCAAGAATCTCAATAGTTTTAGCGATGGATAGTCAATTAGAAATTTGAAGGCAATATTGACAAGATTATCCTCTGCCCAAGTATCTATTAAATTCGTGATTTGTTTAGCTTGTAATCCAAACAGATCTACAGGAAGGAACCCTTTTCATTCTAGCCATTCATTTCTAAGATTTTCCCTTCTTTTTCTTACTTCTATGGACATCTCTGTTGTCTTTATAGCAAATAAAAAATTGAATAAAAGGAAAGAAGACAAGTGAAAGTATACAAGCTTCATGACTTTCTTTATGAAAAAAGGTAGTCAACAAATTTGAGTATACAAAAATGTATGAACAAGGGTGGAGGATGAACAAAGCAAATTCAAGAAGTAACCTTAGGGTACATACAACTGTTGATGAAAGAAATGGTTGTCATTAGGGAACACCAACATCTTTCTTCAGATGAAGCTCTCCTGATTCCGTCCTGTTGAAAAGCTTCTCAACCACTTCATTCCAGTTGGTTCTTCCTTGACTGGACTTTGATGTTGCATTTGAGACCTCTTCAGCTTGATTATGGGAAGCCAGCCCATCTGGTTCCCCAGAGGCAGAGGGTTCTTCTGGTTTCACGGCATGAGGTACATTCAAACTGACAGCTCTTTCTAATGCATCCTTGTGTTCTTTTTCAAGGGTCTGTAACCTCTGGATCTTTTGGGTTTGAGGAGGAACTGTCACAGTTAAAGCACTACTTTCCCTCATTCTCTGCATTAAATAAACAGTACTATTAAATTTAGGAGCAATTTGTTCCCTCCAAGAGAAAGATAGAAAGATATTGAAGAAAAACTCACAGCAACAGAATCCAAGAGCAATCAGTTCCAGAATGGGTGCTATAATTCATTTTCACAGAGAGCAGAGAGGAAAGGAAAAGAAAAAATTTACAAGGAAGATGCTCTGCAATGGAATACACAACAATCAAGAGATACTTGGACAAAAAGACCTGGGTTTTCCTTGGTGCTTGATTCTTATGATGCATGATATGCTCAATTACTCAAAGATAAGAAAACAGGGTGAAACCTTCATAAGATTTGGTTGACACTTGACAATTTCTAAAGAAATAATCGAAGACATTTTCAGCATTTACGAGATTCCAATTAATGGTTATTTATGACTTTCTAAAATTATGCAAGTATATGACTATCAGTCTTTTTCTTAAATAAACAATTTCATAAGTTATAAATGAGCCACATAAGGAGAGTTGAGAAGTTGATTGCTAGCAATTGAACCTTTTCTCCATTTCAGAGTTTATGCAAAAGGTCATATCAAGTCTACCTTAAGACATATTGCGCAAAGCATTTAATAGACTAGATATCTATAGTAGGTGGATTTTGTTAGCCAACTATTTTCTAAATATTGAAATTCTAGTTAATTACATGTACTGACAGAATTCTAAGTTTAGACTTCTTTTGCACTTGCTTTAGCAACAACATAAGGTTAATTCTGTATAGGAACTCATTTATGAAAAAAAGCACAAGTGACAGATCACCAATCACAGCTATAGTGTAATCAGTAAAGAAAAGGTATGAAATAGCAAATAAGCATGTAAATGCACTCCCCCCATCACCACCCAAGAAAAGGAGAAAATAAAATAAATGTAAGCCTAGTATACGATTGATATTTATAGTGAATAAATTCTCAAATCTTGCTAGGGATTGCATAGAATGCAATAAAGATGCCTACATTCAACATGTTGATATGGCTATTTTTCCCATAGTCCATTACTGCTAACACTAACTTTCTGACACGTACTGTATGAGCAGCAATTACTTTGGCATACAGCATCGGTGACGAATTTCAAATATCTATAAGTACCTGATGTGTCATCCTCTAGGAAGTAGGAATCATGGCTTGGGACATGGACCTCAGTTAAATATTGAGTTATATAAATTATTAAATATTCTAAGCATGGAATATAAGCAAGGCAATTAAAGAACTTGGAAAATCAAAGCATTGGGATGACATCTAAAATTGATGAGTGCCATTATTTTTATTTCCTTTAAGCTTGGAGCATCATCATTGGTGTGGCAAGACCCATGATTTTTGAGGTCTCCTTGTACCATTGCAGAATGAAAATAATTGAGTTCTTGTTTCTTGATATAGATATAGTGAAGTATCGAACATCAGACTATTAAGAATCAAAGTTGTCTGTCTTGCTAATGGAAATCACTGTAACTCATTTATTTCTTCAGATATGTGCCACAATCTAGTAATTCATTATACCCAAACCTTGGAAGATTATGCAACAAAGTTTGCAGTTCAACTTTTTAACTAAACCAAACTACCAAAGTTGGGTCCAGTTTCTAGAACATCAATGTCCTTTATTCTTACACATGTAATTTCTTCTTATCATACAGAGTTACAGTACTCTGTTAGCTATTCATAATTTAAATATGATAGAACTTTTTGTTGGAGATCTAGGGAACAACATAAAACCTTGGAAGACAATCTCGCTGCTTCAAGCTTCTTTTCCTGGAACATGCTTAAGGGGTTTTCCACCACATTTTATGGTTGCCATTCACCTGATTTAAATGTTTCAAACTCTCTGGAATATTGATTATTTGTGAACTACTTCACAAAAATTTGTGCCATAAGAAAGGGAGGTCGCACCTTGTGCCTCTCAGTGGGATGCTTGTAACAGTTCTCATATTTACTTAATAAAATTCCTCTTCAATTATCAAAAAAAAATGATTTGTGCCATACGAAGTGTACATCCAGCCCTGACTTTTCTATGCCAATACTTATATATGGTAAGGTAAACTAGCCAAGTATGCAGAAGGAAACTAGTGATGAGAATTGATGTAGGGAGAACCTGCAAAACAAGGGAAATCTAATTAAACTACTAAAAAGGATTGTTAGGCTTGATGATCTATAAGGGATGGTTACGTTACAGAAGAAATTAGGACAAGTGCATGGTTTTTCTTGGATGATGTTAGTTGACCTAGGGAAACTTCTCTCAAAAGAGTATGTGAAGGGAAATGCAGAATTGTTCTGAATTATTGGAAGCACTTGCTAGAGTCTGATTATATCAATCCTATTAGTGTTGAGCAGTCCTATCCAAGGGTTTGATGCTCTTCAGTGCTGAAATCCAAGAAAACAGACAAAAACAAGACTAAAGAGCCTTAGAATAGCTCTAGGGTCAATGCTCAGAATATTCTCCAAACTTCATTACATATTTTGCAATCAATACAAAGATATACAGACTCCTATGGTCAGCCAGACTACACCTACTTTGACTTCAACTAAAAAATTACAAAATTGACCACTCTTGATAAAAAAAGGCCAGTACCCAATGTTAGTCCCAGCTATTGGGAGTCTTGGGGGTGGGGGACTGGAAGTGTCTTCTCTCTCAGCTATCCGGAGTCTTGACCACTCTTGATAAAAATAGGCCAGTACCCAATGTTAGTCCCAACTATCAGGAGTCTTGGGGGCGGGGGACTGGAAGTGTGTTCTCTCAGACTCAAGCCCATATTCTCACACTTGTCAGACTGAGATTTTACCATTACACCAAGTGATGGCCACTTGGCAACTCCACCTTAATGCAAAAGAAAATTTTAAACACCTCCTCTTCTACTTAATAACACATGAAATTTAAGTACAACTGATGGACAATTAGATCAAATAATCCCTAAAACCAGATCTAACACAAAAAAAAATGTTAATGGCTAAATGTGTTGAGGAAAGAGAAACCAAGTGTAGTGTCGTCACAAGAAACAAAAAATTGCAAAGGTGGACAGAAGAAGTTGGTCCTTTGCCCCATCCTAGGGAGCTCCTGGAGGAATTCTTACAATATGAAAAGATGAAGAATTGGAGTGTAAGGAGGAATTAGTTGGGCAATTCTCAGTTTCAGTGAAGTTCAAAAAGGAGACTAATAGTAAAGATTGGGTGTTGACAAATGTGTATGGCTCTAACTCTTATAGAGATAGAGACCTTTTCTGGGAGGAATTAGCTGCATTTAGGGGATTTTGGGAGGCCATGGTGTGTGGGTGGTGACTTCAATGCTATTAGGTATACAAGTGAAACAAATAACCCCAATCAAGGCATAACCACAAGTATGGGGAACTTTAATGCTTTGGTGGAGTCTTTGGAATTGAAGGAACCCCCTATATTGCAAGCTACCTTTACTTGGTCTAATTTCCAAAAGTTCTAGTGTGTTCTAAATTGGACAAGTTCCTAGAGTGACCTCAGACCACTGCCCACTTTGCCTTTCTGAGGAGTCCTACCAAGGGGGCTCCACCCCGTTTAGGTTTGAAAATATGTGGTTGGAGGACCCTAAATTTATTGAAAAAATTAAAGGGTGGTGGTTGAATTGTGGGATCAACATTGATAATAAGGGGGTGAGGTTCTCCAAAAAGTTGAAATTTTTGAAAGAAAGAATCAAAGAGTGGAACAAGCAAGAATTTGGAAGATTAGAGGAGATAAAGGATAAAACTGCAAAATGAACAGAGGAAATTGATCTTAAGGAGGCTCGGAGAGAGTGCTTGGAGAAGGAGAGATCTGAAAGATGGAGACTAAAGGTGGAGTTAGAGGAGGTTCTTATAAAAGAATAAATTTCCTAGAGGCAAAAATCGAGATGTAAGTGACTTTTGGAAGGAGATGGAAATACTAGATTTTTCCATTAGCTAATGGAAGAAGAAGGAAGAATTCGATCTCCAACATTGAGGTGGAAGGACAAATTTTTAGCCAAGAAAGAGGATATTGTTAAGGTTTTTGTGGATCACTTTAAAGCAATCTTTGCCACCTTAGGTAGAAGGGATCTGGAGTGGGCAAAGGTACCGACATTAAATACTATTAGAAAGAAGTTTCAACCTGGATGAAATCCATGAAACAATGTTCTCAATGGAAAGATCAAGAGCTCTAGGCCCTAATGGCTTCTCAATGGATTTTTACCAGGATTGCTAGGAAATTATAAAGGGTGACTTGATGAATGTTCTTGGGGAATTTCATGAAAAATGAGAAATCTCACCTGGAGCAAATGTAACATTCATAGTCTTGGTTCCTAAGAGAAAAGAAGCAAAAACCCCAACGGACTTTAGGCTTATTAGTCTTGTTGGAAGCTTGTAAAGAATCATCGCCAAGGTCTTGGCTAGAAGATTGAAGACTTGTCTACCCCTGGTGATATATCAATTTCAAGGAGTTTTTGTTGATGGGAGGCAAATGAGTGTATGGAGGAAAAAAGAAAGAAAGGGGGAAAGGGATTGATTTGTAAACTAGATCTAGAAAAAGCATATGACATGGTAGATTGGGATTTACTTATTTGGTTGTTTGGGAAGATAGGGATAGGGGTCAGAGGATGTATTAGCTCGGTATATTTCTTAATCATGATTAATGGGGTTGCTAGGGATTTTTCCCAGCAAAAAGAGGTTTAAGACAAGGAGACCCCTTATCCCCTTTTTTATTCACTCTAATAGCTGAAGTCCTAAGTAGAATGATTATCAAAGTTGATTTGGACAACTTGATTAGGGCTTGGATGGTATGGAGAAATGATGTGATAGTATCTCATCTACAGTTTGCAGATGACATAATAAGGGTAAGAGTTGTTGGTAGGAATTAATATAGAGGAGGGTAACATCCAATTGCTGAAACTCTAGGATGTGAGGTGAGAGGTTGTCCCCTAGAATACCTTGGCCTACCACTAGGGGGGAGGGGGGACCCAAGATCAAAAAGTTTTTGGATTCCTATCCTAGAAAGATTTGGCAATGTGGAAAAAGAATTACATTTCGCCGAGAGGAAGAATAACATTAATTAAGTCCACATTAATAAATCTGCCCACATACTACCTATCTACCTTTAGGATCCCAGTCAAAGTAGCTAAATGGTTAGAAAAGATTCTGAGGAATTTTTTGTGGGAATCGGGGGATGAAAGGAAGAATCACTTGATATAATGGGAACATGTAAATCTAAGGAGTAGGGTGGGTTAGGAATTGGAAATCTTATCAAGAGGAATACGACTCTGTTAGGGAAGTAGCTATAGAGGTTTCCTCTCAAAGGAGATAGACTGTGGCACATGGTCATTGAAAGCATACATGGACTAGGAGAGAATGGCTGGGATGCAAAGCTGGACTTACACACATCTTCAAAAGCCCTAAAGAAATCAAAAATAGAGGTACTACCTCCTTCTTGTGCTTTGTCAGTTTTGATGTGGGTTGTGGGAATAAAGTTTTGTTTTGGGAGGACCTATGGGTGGGTGATGAGCCTCTTTGTCAACAATTTCAATTATTTTACTCCCTTTCAACCTATAAGTTTGAACCTGTGTCCAAGTTTGGTGTTACATCTCTAACTGGGGTTTAGGAGGGGCCTCAAGGACAATGAATGTGAGTCACTAATATCTTTGCTTTCTTCTCTGGAGACTATCTTCTTAGACCAAAATACACTTGATGCTAGGGTTTGGATCCCATACCTTGACAGTTTGTTCTCTTGTGCTTCCTTCTTTAGCCTTTTAGTTCATTCAAATTTGGGGGGAGGGGGATATCTCTCCTTGTAAATGAAATTGGGTGTAAACATATCCCTCATAAAGTACAAGCCCTATGTTGGGAAGTGTTCCTTGGTAAGATTAACACCTATGACATGCTACAGAAAAGGAGGCCTAACTCTTGCTTCTCCCCTCATGTGTATGTCTTCTGTAAAGCTAGTGGTGAAACCATGAAACCATACCTCACTTATTATTCTCTTGTCATTTTGGTTTGGCATTTTGGAATATGTCTATTTTCTTTTCAGTTGCAAATGGGTTCCACCACAAGAAGTGGTAAGTTTATTCAACCCCAACTTCCTCAGGCACAAGGAGAAGAGAGGGAAGATCATGTGGAGGACAGTTAGAGAAGCACTGGTTTGTACGATATGGGAAGAAGGAAATAATAAAATTTTCAATGAGAAAAACTAGGACAAAAGAGGAGCTAATGGAAGCTACCCTAGTGAGAGTTGCACATTGGGTAAAAACATTGAAGCTTTTTAGAGTGTTTTCAACCAATGACATTCTTAGATCTTGATCTAAAGTAATGCAAACAGGTGGACACATTGGAGAAATGCAGGTGGATTGGAAGCCCCTATTTGCTAATAAGCTGAAACTGAATTTTGATGGTAGCTCTATGGGCAACTTAGGTGTTTGTGCCATGGTAAGGCTATGGAGGTTGGTCAAGTCTCCGAAGGTCTAGAGAGGGCAACGAGAAAGAGAGAGGACGCGGGGAAGAGAGAAGAAGAGAGGAGGGAGAGTCCCTTTCTCAGAAACCCTAGGTCAAAGTTATAATGTATTATCTCCCTTAGGGAAGAGTTTCTCTCCCTTTTTATAGAGAGAAACCCAAAGCTATACGGAGAAGGATTTAAAAGATGACCTTTCCTGTTAGGAAATGAGATATTTTCTTTATGTTAACTATTAAGGGAACATTATTGGGGTTTCGCCACGTGTCTAGCGAGATCCTTCAAAGACAGGGTTTCCTTTCCCTTAAAGATTCTCTACGTATTCTACTTCTTTTCGTGACCCTTTTATACTGACGTGGTGCGAGTGACGTTGTTATTTGCATTGCTTGCCTTTACTAGGCCCACAGGGTGTCCTATTATGCGCGTAATTTAAAAACACACGTGTATCTAATATTTATTCCTGGTTGTACAATAATTCCACGTTTGTCATGGGCCTGCGATGGCTTCGAGCTCCGCAGGTCCGCACGCATCCAAAACTCATCGCGGATTCGCGCATGTCTGAGACTTATCGCAAGTCTGCGCGTATCTGAAACTCATCGCAAATTTACCTAAGCCAAAGTTCATTGCAACTCGTTTCGGGCACAACTTCATCGCAATCATGCGATGAGTTCATAACTCATCACAAATGCCCGATGAGTTGTGAACTCATCGCAAGCATCCGTGTGGTATTAATTCAACATATTCTGTGCTCTGATGGTCTGAGTGACCACTATGTACCTACACCAAGAAGAGCAGGCATTGGGGGATCATCAACGTGTGACGGTACTGATGTATTCAGGTCCAGTTGGTTTAGGAGATGCTGTCAAGGGCCTCAAGGCAGAAATCCTAGAATTGTTACAAGGATTGCAATTAGCAGGCCAGTTGGGGCTCAAAGACTTGGAAATAGAAGGCGGCTCACAACTAGTAATTCATTGGGCAAAACAACTCAAAGCAGCACCTTGGAAATACAGTCATTCTTTTAGGGAAATTGATGTTATTGCAAAACAATTAAATTCAAATTTCAGCTGGGTAAGAGGATCTGCAAATGGGGCTGCTGATGGTCTAGCTAAACAGGGAGTTGACAGACCAATTTGTTTTGAGCAAACCTGTAAATTCTTGGCTGGAATCATCCAACAATTTAAATCTAGTGAATTTCATTTTCTGATAAAAAAAACCCCGGTCATCAAATTAGCCTAAATACTAAGATCCAAGAACCATTGACATGCCATATGGCCTGCTGGATCGTTTTATTTTTCCTAGAATAAGTCTTTATGGGATGTTCTGATCACTAACATATATTTCATGGTACAAAAATATTTAACATGAACTACAAAATGGCATGACAATCTTATAGAAATAAAAGGAACTGAAACTACTTCTTACCTGTAAAACTTTTTCTGCTTCTCTTTCAATCCATATAATTGCATGATCTGATGTGGCATTGGCTGATAGAACAATGTGTTCAAATCTTCCTTCAACTGGAATGGCAGTCCGCACCTCTGGAGGAAACCTTCCACATCTATATACCAAATATTGAAGAACTCAGTTTCACAAAAAATCAGAATCTTTATGCACTAAGAAACCACTGAAAGCTTCTACGGCTAGGTTTACAATGGTTAATGGATAGTTAATAAATAAAACTAGAGGAAAATTATATTGAGCTAGTACATTAAAGAAAAACTGCATCAATTATGCAAATTTCCACACCAGTTGTTTAGTAGGGCTACAAGTCCAATTTTTTAAGGAAAAAACCATACATCAAGCCAGCAATGGATGATCAGTCACTCTTAGCCTCTTGTGGGAAAATAAGACATAAAAATCAAGCAAATCCAACTTGATCAATATCTTGCCCTTTTCCATAAGAAAGAACTCCTTAAAGGAAAAAAGGCCTGTATGAACTGAAATGAGGAACATTAATTTTCACAGTTCACCTAACGCCTTACTTGGTTCAATTCTTCCACATGTATGGAGACTAATAGTAAAGTGGTTAATTGTTAGGCAATTTCAAAGATAATTGATATTTTTGATAATATAGTGACACAATATGTGGCTACTCTTTGGTATTTTTTATAAGCTGTAATATCTTTTTTGATCAGTAACAGATCAAAGATTATTGATGAATAAGCAAAAAATATAGATACAGAAATACAAAAAAACTGAGCTGAGAACAGCCTGCTACCCCCAACAATACAGCATACACCATATATAGAACAAACCCTCCAAACAGATCCCCTCCCTGCCACCTGTTGAGGTGGGGAGGAGGACCGAGGACTACAATTCATCTCTATTAGCTCTTTTTACAATGAATGATCATTGGTAGACCTTTGAGTCCATCTAAGCTGTAATGTGGTTCAAAGGAATGGCCTTCTCTTCATGCAAGTGGTTGTCTCTCCAGTATGCAATATACCCATTATTACCCCAAAGTAAAAGAAGCATGTACCACTGGATTGCCATAGTAAGGCAGTTAATACGTCTCCTTTGAGCCAACCTCTCATAAAAACATCTTCAGCTACATTAAATGGTGGGATCAGACATGCAATGGCTGTCACTTGGTAGAAGGTGCGAACCGACTCAGTTAGTAAGGTCTATGGCTGGTTAACAGAGACTTAGGATTGAATCCCACCTTCACCAGGGTTGGGGATTGTGATGCCACTCTCATAAGTGCACTACTGTTCAGAAAAACATACAGTTTCACCCTCAATTAAATTGAATCATGTAGTAACCTGGTAAATAAGCAGCATAATGATTTCTTATGACCCACATGTAAAAACTGTTGAGTTGGTCCGGTTTGTTTTTATTTAGTTAGGAAGTTGTTGGGCTTTAGGCCCATTAGTTTATGTTTTTTTTAAGTTGTGACTGTTCAGCTTTTAGTAGCCGCCCTACTAAGGGCATCCTTGTAATATCTCATCTTTTTAAGTTAAGTATAAATATAATGAGAGGGGGGCGGCTAGGGTTGATTTCAGAATCCTGGTTGACTTCCTACTCTCTTCTTCTTCTCCTTTCTTCTCTACTGCTGAAACTTTCATCTTTCCCCTCTTTCCTTCACAAGAAACTCGACTAAATCTGCAATTAGTGATCTCTACTAAAACAAATAGTGAATGATGCAACATCAAGAGAATGTGATCATCAAATAATAATTAATAATCTTGTTCCTGTAGTTTCAGTAACCATAGATGTAGAATATACTCAATATAGTGTCAGTACTGACACAAGAAAAAAAAAATTATCATTCCAAACATTCAGGAAATGAAATTTAAAATTAACTCCTCAAAAAATAAAAGTTCTGGTACCTGCAAAATTTTCTTTCTACTATGTGATACATCCTTCCAGGAGCATAAAGTCTTCTTGGATCTCTCAGCTTCCTATCTTCTGGTATAAAGGTATCTCTCATGCAAACAAAAAATAACAAACATGGCAAGCTGTCCAAAGCATTAACCCATAAATGATGAAAGGACAATCTGCTAGCTCAAAGTATAACATTTGTAATGAAAGGAAGCCATTAAATTATTGACAGCCATAGCCTTGGAAAGTGGAAACAAGACTACTAACCAGAAAATTGACTTAAAAATATCTTCCAATGGTGTTGGCGTTCTTGGTAAGAAGTCATCCTGGATTATCATCACTTTGAGATATAATGTCAATTTCTATATAAGAGACCCAGCGGGGGGGGGGGGGGGGGGGGGGGGTGTGACTTTTAACTCAGCATGGATAATAAGAGTAAGACTGTAAGCTTGCAACTACTGAAAATAAGTTGAATAAGCACCTACAAGTATATCATCCTTGCATGGTAATTGATCGAGCATAGTACACACACTAACAGAATGTTATATATAGAGTTAGAATGATAGAATCAAGTTAAGAGATTGGCTTGGTCATCCACTGTGCGCCATGGCAGGGCCATGCAAGCTGCCCCAATCATCGCACTTGAGTTTGAAAAGCATTTGGAGGGCATTGGAGGAAGCAACCAGGTGCGGTATTTCAAGGATTGTGGTGCAGGCTCATTCCATGGGGCTGATTCAGTGCATCTATGGTGCAGCTAGGTGGCCATGGTGTGCGTGGTGGCAGTTGCATGAAATCCAGGCAATGAGCGGCCTTTTTGAGGAAATCCATTTTGTTCATATTTTCAGAGAGGCCAATAAGTCAGCTGACTTTTTGTCAAAATTTTGCATTGATGTACAGGAGTTAGTGTTGCTCCCCAAGGACTTACTACCTGAACTATCCCGGCTGGTTTTTGCGGATGCTCAGGGGGCAGGGGTCCTTTGGTCGTAAACTTTTCTTTCTTTGAATAAATTTTTCTGCTTTCCTTCTCCTTAAAAACAAATCAAGTTAAGAGAGAACAAGGGACCCTCTTTCTCCTTTCCTTTTCACCCTGACAGTTGATGTGTTGAGTGTCCAGATTACTAGAGCCGATGCTAGATATTTGCTTAGAGGGTGGAGAGTAGGGAGAGAGGAAATAGTTGTAGCCCACCTTCAATTTGTTGATGAATTGATTCTTTTTTGTGAAGGAGATCCAGAGGAGTTGGAAAATTTAAAGGTCTTGGTAGAGAATTTTGAAAAGGTCTCCAACTTGAGAGTAAATTGGAATAAAAGTTGTGTAGCTGGAATTAATAGGCAAGAAGTAGAGGTGGCATCTTTGGCTAGATCTTTAGGTTGTGAGGTAAGTGATTGGCCTCTTAAGTATTTAGGCATACCTTTGGGAGGAAACCCGAGGTCAAATAGCTTTTGGTACCCGGTTTTGGAAAGATTCTCCAAAAGACTAGCAGGTTGGAAAAGGAACTACATCTCTTTAGGGGGTAGAATCACTCTAATTAAATCAACACTAGCAAAGGGATTGGAAATATTAGAATAAGAAACACAGCTTTGTTAGGCAAATGGTTGTAGAGGCTTCCTAAGAAGCAAGAGAGTTTATGGCATAAGGTGATAAGAAGTATTCATGGAATAGCAGCAAATGGATGGGATGTTGGACTCGACCCAAGGGCTTCACGCTTTTCCCCGTGGAAAGATATTGTTTGGTATCTTGCCTGTATTCTCTCCTTTCATCAAGTACGATGCTTGCGTGGGTAATTGTGGAGACTCTATAACTTGATGTATCTTATTAGTATAGTCCTTNGTAAGGAGGGACCTCCTTGGATTATAGATTCTGGAGCCTCAGAGCACATGACCCAGAGCTCTACTATTTTTTCAACTTACTAGCTTTGTTCTGGCAGAGATAGGGTCTCCACAGCTGATGGATCCCATGTTCCTATTGCTGGGAAGGGATCTGTCAAGATTAGTGATTCTATTTCTCTACCCTCTGTCCTTCATATTCCCAGATTGAGCACCAATTTGTTATCTGTTAGTAGTTTGACTAAGAACCTGAACTGTTCAGTAATTTTTTCTCCTGGTCGTTGTATTTTGCAGGATCTGGATTCAAAGAGGACGATTGGGAGTGGTCGTGAAGTGAATGGAATCTACCTCCTAGATGTACTTCCTTCTCATCAGAGTCATCATGTTAGCAGTGATAGTGAGTCAGGGTCTGTGAGTCAAATTTTGCTTTGGCATAATCGTTTGGGTCATTTACCGTTTTCTTCTTTGAGTTTTTTGTTTCCAAAACTTTTTGAGTCTGTTAGTTTGTCAAGTCTGGAGTGTGAAGGTTGTCAATTTAGAAAGCATTGTAGACATTCATTTAAGCCTAGTAATAAAAGATGTTCTTCTTCTTTTGATGTTATTCATTCGGATGTGTGGGGCCCTTACCATGTTCCTTCTATGGGAGGCTATCGCTATTTTCTCTTATTTGTGGATGATTTCTCACGATACTCTTGGATTTACCTGATGAGATCCCGCGATGAGGTACCATCCTTGGTGAGGCAATTTCATCAGATGGTACTAACACAATTTGGAACAAGAATAAAGGTGTTCAGATCTGACAATGCCAGGGAGTATTTTGAAAGACATCTTGCCTCATATCTGTTAGAATATGGTATTGTCCATCAGAGCAGTTGCCCCTACAGTCCACAGCAGAATGGTGTTGTAGAAAGGAAGAACAGACACATTGTTGAGATTGCAAGAAGCATGATGATCACATCTATAGTTCCAGTTCGGTTTTGGGGTGATGCAGTTTTCACAGCAGTATATCTGATTAACAGGGTGCCCTCTCGTATACTTGGATTCAGCACCCCATTCAGTCTTCTTTTTCCTCAAGGGGAGATGTTTCATATTCCTCTCAGGGTGTTTGGGTGTGTCTTCTTTGCACATATCCTTGGTCCTCACCGCTCGAAGCTTGACCCCAAGGCAAAGAATTGTGTCTTCCTTGGATATGCAGAGAATCAGAAAGGGTACTGCTACTATGATTCAGTCTCTGGGAGCCGGTATGTTACCATGGATGTCACCTTTTTTGAATCCACGTACTTCTTCTCAAAAAATCCTTCTTAGGGGGAGTGTTTTGGGGAAGTGAGTCAGCAATCTATTCCTCTCCCAGTTCCAGTCCCTGTGTCTACTCCTGTGCTTGACCACCACCCTGTGGCACCTACCTTGCCACCTCCTTTGCGTTCTGCTTCTCAACATTACTTACGACAGAGACTTCACAAGGAGGTTGATTCCACTACAGCAGAACTCACATCACTTCATGTCAATTCCTTGGAGACTCCAGATTCGGCTGCCATGGATTCAGGTATTCCTCTTGGTTCCACTACTGTTTCATTTCCCATTGATCCTACTAACTCTGTTACAGATAACCTTGATCTTCCTATTGCTCTCAGAAAAGGGAAGAGAAAGTGTAATGCTCATTGTATTTCACAGTATCCTTCTTACCGTGTTTTTCTCTCCTCTCTTGATTTAGTATCTATACCCAAGGGTGTTAGTGAGGCTCTCTCCAAATCTGAGTGGAAGACAGCTATGTAGGAAGAGATGGCAGCTTTGATTAAGAATCAGACATGGGACATTGTGGATCTACCAGAAGGCAAGGAGACAGTTGGATGCAGATGGGTTTACACAGTAAAATATAAGGCAGATGGAAGTATAGAAAGGTACAAGGCAAGACTTGTTGCAAAAGGGTACACACAGACCTATGACATTGATTACTTAGAGACCTTTGCGCCAGTTGCAAAGATGACCTCTGTTCGGATACTTCTTTTTCTTGCTGCCTCATACTCTTGGCCCTTGTTTCAACTTGATGTGAAGAATGCTTTCCTAAATGGGGATCTGCAAGAAGAAGTGTATATAGATCTTTCTGTTGGTTTTTACAATGATACTGAAAAGGGAAAGGTATGCAGGCTTAAGAAGTCAGTTTATGGCTTGAAACAATCTCCCAAAGCATGGTTTGACAGATTCAGATAGGCCTTGATTGCTTTTGGCTACACTCAAACTCAATCCGATAACACCTTGTTTGTGAAGCGAAGGGGATCTTTGGTGTCAGTCCTAATTGTTTATGTGGATRATATTGTTGTCACYGGGAATGATCTGAGTGAGATTGATGGTCTGAAAAAGAACCTACATAAAGAATTTGAAATTAAGGATCTTGGAGAATTGAGATACTTCTTAGGCATTGAAGTTGCAAGATCAG